CTCTCTCTCTCTCTCTCTCTCTCTCTCTCTCTCTCCCTGTCTGGCACAAACGATGCACAAAAAGAAGACGAAAGGGAGAAAAACTGACAGTTTGTGGCTACAGCTGCAGAGAAGCAGGTGGAGTTTGTAGCAGGTGTGGCTCACTCTGAGGAGAGTAGATAACAAGTAATGAGTAGAAATAAACAGTTATTTGTGACAGATTCACAATCTTTAATCACTTAAACTGCAGCCATGATAAAAAAGAAGTTGTCTGTAAACGCTCCTGTTGCAAAAAAAAAAAAAAAAAAAAGCTTTTAGGTAGCATGGAAATTTTTGAGGTGTTTCTTAATGTTTGCAAAGCCACCTCTTTAAGGGATATATCAGTTAATTTGAAGTACTCTTCTATGTAAAGGTTATAAACAGTTAATATCTTACCTGTTGCAGATAACGCTTTGGATTACCTTAGTCATGAACTAAAGGCTAATCCAAGTGCAACCAAAAACAAAGAAAAATTTCAAACAATTCAAATTTCATGGTGGTTCATATAAATGCTCCTTTTCAAACCTTTAGTTTTGTATTACTGTAATTTATACAAATATCTCACCTATATGGATAGCAGCAGCAAGCTGTAGCACTTCAGGTACAGACAGCCTGGAGTCAAATCTGGCAGAATTTACTTACAAATTCTGGTGAAAGGTTTAAACGGGTGCTCAGAAACCAAAATAGATGTTTCTTCTTCAAATAAAGGTCAGGGGCGGAGCCAGAGGGGTGGCCAGGGTGGCAAGAGCTATCTCTGGCACCTGATTGGCCACCCTAGGTGCCACCACCAAATTATTGACAAGTTAGTAGAGAGCTTGGATTTTGTATTCATATTTAGTTGAAGATTGTTCTCTGATACTGCTGTACTGTATACATTTTGTAGTTGTACATATTTAAAAATGGCTGAATTATAGACCTTGTAAATTAGCATTATCATTAGTGGTTAGCATAATTTGGGATTAGCATAGGCAATTGACGTGTGATCATTCTTAGCAACTCCACAACAAATTTCATCTCAATGAGTCTTAAAATGATTGAAGCCATTTGAAGTTAGCTGGTGTGGCCATCTTGAATTTTTGATTAGCATTTAGAAATTGGTAAAGATTGTTTTCAGCAACTTCTACACCAATCTTCAGCGTTTTATGACTAAATAAGTTGTGACTAGCTTTAGCATGTTTTTTGGATCGTTGTTTATTTATGATCACGGCTCAATGTTTCTTAAAACAGCTGCATAAAAGCCATTTGGAATTAGCTGTGGCGGCCATCTTGAATTTTCAAATCCAGAGTATGTTTCTATATTTGTATTAGCCCTCTATAAAATGCACCTTGGCCACCCCTGTGCAACCCCTTGCAAAAACTTCTAGCTCCGCCCCTGGTGAAGTTTGTTGTAACTGTATTTAGCAGGGGGCTTAATGACAGCACAAACAGTTGTAACATGAATGATACTGTGACTGCTGGACATTGCTCCCCACGGCTGACAAAAGAGAATCTAGTACAAAAATGAGTGGATGATATGACCACAGAATGCATGATTAATGTATTGTTTTTTTGTAACTGAGGTTCTTATCTGGAGGGACAAGGATGGATGGGATTAAGAGTGAGATCAGAGGTACAGCACAGGTTGAACGACTGAGAGATAAAGTTAAAGACCAGGCTGAGATGGTTTAAACACGTCCAGAGGGGCAGAGGAGGATGTTAGAGATGCTGCCAGGAAAAAGACAAAGAAAAGATATAAGGAGGCAGGTAGAGAACATGGAGTTAATTGGAGTGAGGACTAAAGGAGATGGAGGAGGATGACTCACTGTGGAGACCCCTGAAGAGGGAACAGCTGAAAGAAGATGAAAAAGAAGTTTTATATATATATATGTATATATACATTTAGATTCTGGTTTAAATGATGTTTTTTCCATTGACCTCGGTGCAGTTTTGAAGATCTGAGTTAAATGAGAACTGCTTTGATTTGCTTTTGAATGAGGTCTGTTCAGAAGACTCAGAGTTAGCTCACAAATATCATCACTTACCTTTGTGCTATTATTACAGAGTATTGGTGACTATATTTGGTTGCCATTTTGGTTGCAATATTGAGAAATTTGTGTTTGAACTGATACAATGCAAAGCTGCACCTGAACTGCTACAGCTAGCTGATGCTGCTTTTTGCAAGTATCAACAGTGTATATAATGTGTCTAAAAAAATGACCAGTGGCATAAAGGTCTAGGAAATAACATTTTCACGAACCACCATGAAAGTTTGCAGATTGAGGTTGTTGAGCACTTGTATTAACATGATTTTTTGTGTTGATTTGCCACAATCAATGGGAAAAATGCTAATGTTTTTTTGTAAATCAGGCCTAAATGTATTTGAAAATGTGTATTTGAACACGGAGTGGAAGGAACTTTGTGAACCATTGGCAATGAATGCCTAAAAACATGATTAAAATGTATTTTATTTCACATGAAGGGGCGGGACTTTAAATTATTTTTCTGTCAGCCACTAGTGGGCGCTCATTTTTGTGGCTTCGATGTCCAGATTTTGGACCTGTTTCTAATTAACCATATGGACTCCTCTTGGGCTTGCTAACCTTGTCAGAATTAGATATTAACTGTTTGTAAATTTTACACAAAATGCTTCAAAATTGTGGACCTACCCCTTTAAAGATCTTTTACCAACTTTTGCTTTGTTATGGTGGTCACCACAACAACCTTTGCTCCAGTTCAGAACCCCTCCTGGTTTAACTCCTGTGATCTGTAGTCTTCCTGGTTGTTGGTGGTACGAGCTCCTGTAAAGCTTTTCTAATCTCTCTCTCTCTCTTTCATCCGTTGTTTTTTTAAATCTGCTGCCTCACGTGCAGATTCCTCCTCTTCATGAGTTTACACACCCCTGGGTGATATCACGGGGAGGAGAAACTGTTCTTATTAGCCACCTTCTGCCTGTGCGAGATGTTCAACCTTCACGTCCCTGTCAACCACCAGACACGGCCGACAGATGTTCTGCTGCTTTACTTTGCCTCGTGAATGTTTCTCATGCGGTGTATCTTCCGTTTGTCGTCTGATGTGTGTGACTTCGGTTAATAAAAAGCGTGTGAACACAGTTCGTTGTCGTTGGTTTCAGCTTACTGCCACCAGGATCCATTATGTGAACACAAAAGAGGGCGACAGTCAGGTGGAGCAAGCACCTTAGAATTAAGTTTCATTCAAATATTGTCAGAAATTCTCTTTTTAACAACAAATGCACACAGTTAGGCATTTATAAGGCTTCTCATAAAAAACTAAATGCAAAAGGGTTCATCAACACGAAGCTTTAATATTTGCAAAGTTAAGCTACAATATGAAGCTGCAGATGATGACTTCCATCTCTTCTTGCTGCTGTTGCTTAGGGGCTGACGTCACATGCCACCTGACAGAGCAGGAGAAGACTGGGTTACCAACCGGATGCGGGGTTTCGGCTTTCAAAGTAAAAGCATGACGTGTTCGTCCAGAAGTATTATATTTGCCAACTCAATGCATTTTCATTATTAGATGTATCCCCCGGTTTAAGCTGCTATTTTATTCATTATTGTTAGTCCTAGTGGAAAATAAAACTATTCTTAGAGCAAAAAGTAAAAAAAGAAATGCGTGTGGTAGATTATTTCTTTGTTGTAATGATACAAATCATTCCATTTTTAATGGTGCCACATTTGTAAGGATTATGCATTTGTGGGATGAGCAGTAAAGCTGAGTATGTGGGTTGTGCACATGGAAAAATTGACACATCTTCCCTGCCAAACAGTTTATTCTGCTGTCGAGCTATTTTTATTTCACTTTAAACTAAAGTCCTCCAGTGGCCGGAGAGCTTCAGGTTCTGTGATCTTCTGGACTGATGACTCTGAGGTTGTTCCTGGAATCTGATGGAGTCATTCTGTTAGTTTGGTGGACCACAACATGACTGCTTTGATGACCAGGGCCGACATTAGCCAATTTAGTGGCCCATAGGCAAGATTTCAGGTGCGCCCCTTGTGCAGTTTTCTAAATCTCATTGACAATTTACACACATACACACAATTAAATAATTTTGTTTTTGACATTATTTTTTATGATTAGAGTTAGAGAATTATTATGAATTAGAGCACCTGCCAACAACTTCAACCTGTAGTAATTATTTTTCAGCTGACTTTTTACTTCTACTCTTTACATTTAAAAACTGCATCATCAGTCCTGTTTCATGTTAGCTTGTTTTCATTCCAGCTTGTCGTCGTTCAACAGCACCTCTGTCCAGATACGGCACCTCCTGGATAGAGTGAATTTAACTGTGGATGGATGAGAAGTATAAATACAGTATATAGCTACCATTCTGACACCATATTCACACATTCAGGACACAAATCACGTCACGTCTCAGAAATATGTAGTTCAGAATGAAGACGACCGTGGCAGAAATATATGCAATATATGCATTTGAGAAAGGGATCATAGTGCATCCTAAATTTTTCAACTTTTAACATTTTATTATAACAATAAGATCACTAAGAACTTACTTATTTATTTATTTATTTATTTGCTTGTTTGTTTGTTTTGAGGAGGTCACCTCTCAATAAATGTAATTTTGGAAACTAGCCTTTCACTTCTAATCAATACCTTTACTTTTTATATTTAAACGGGATACAAGCGGCCGAAATGGGTTTCCTCCGCAGGGTTGCTGGGCTCTCCCTTAGAGATAGGGTGAGAAGCTCRGTCATCCGGGAGGGACTCAGAGTAGAGCCGCTGCTCCTCCACGTCGAGAGGAGCCAGTTGAGGTGGCTCGGGCATCTGGTAAGGATGCCTCCTGGACGCCTCCCTGGTGAGGTATTCCGGGCACGTCCCACCGGGAGGAGGCCCCGAGGAAGACCCAGGACACGCTGGAGGGACTATGTCTCTCGGCTGGCCTGGGAACGCCTTGGGGTTCCCCCGGAGGAGCTGGAAGAAGTGGCTGGGGAGAGGGAGGTCTGGGCCTCCCTTCTGAAGCTGCTGCCCCCGCGACCCGACCCCGGATAGGCGGAAGAAAATGGATGGATGGATGGATTTAAACGGGACATACAAGTACAGCAAATGGCAGATACTTTAATACTCATGTAATATTCTTAAAGAACAAACGAACTTTTACCAAAGTAGTTTTATGGTTGAAAGTTCAATTAAGACTGCCACACTGAAGTCTTGACTCTCCACTTCCTTATACTTCTTCTAAGCTGTTTTTCCAGAAATAAAACTTCACCTTTGTAAATAAAGTTTTACGTATTTGTGCAAAGAAACGTGTTTTATTTGTGTGGCTGCAGTTTGGAGTAAGAACGACAAACAAACTCTCAGTCTACGGGTCATTTAACCCTCAAATTCTAAAGGCTTTTACTTTGAAAGGGAACCTGTGTTGTTGCTCGGGTCAGAGCTGAGCCTCCGGAGGGGGAGGAGGAGGAGGAGGAGGGCAATCCCTGCTTTTATTTGTCTTTCCTTTCGGCCGCAGTCGAGCAGAAAAACAAACCCGGCGCGGCGGAGCTTCGGACGAACAGCCGCGGTCTGCCTGTTCGCGGCGCGCGGAGGAGAAGACGCCAGACTCCCGAGTTTCTTCACTTTATTATCAGACCTCTTTGTTGTTAGAAAGAAGGGGAAGGGCTGTGCTAAGGAAAAAAAAGGCACAACAACACAAGAACAATTGAATCTCAAGTTCGGCGTCTGCGTGTGCGCACTTTACGCACAGACTGCGCGCACCGTGGAACTCTGAGATGTTGGATCACCTCGAAGCTTTAACCGAGCTGCAGCTTTTTGTTGTCTTTCTTTTCTTTCTTGGTGTCATCGCTTCAGGACGCGCCGTGGGATCATGAACCTTGGCTGAAAATAAAAGCATAAAAACTTTTTTTTTAAAGAGAAAGGCAGGAAACCGAGAGGAGGAGGAGGGGGAGGAGGAGGGGGAGCAGCATGGGGGCCAAACAGAGCAGCCCGGTGTTCGACGGCAGAACTCGGGCTTATTCCAGCTCCGACCTCCCGTCGTCTGGAAACTCGGGCGCAGCGGAAAGGATCGCGGGCTTCAGGTACACGAATGGACCCGACGGGCCCCGGATTCGGTACACGGGCGGCGGAGGCCCCACCAACTCCGCGCTGAGTATCCCAGCAAACGGACGGTCGGAGTCGCACAATCAGAGCCTGGATGGCACAGACGGGGACGAGGGCCAGCTGGCCCCCGAGGCGCACAGACTCCTCATAGGGTCCCTGCCGTCCCACCTGTCCCCGCGCCTGCTGGGAGGTAAGAAACCCCCCAGAAGAGATCATTTAAGGCCCCGGCGTGGGGGGAGGTGTTATTGTGCAATACATCTTTTTTCTCTCTTTGTTTCCTCATTATGTAAAAAGTTGTTTCCTTATTTTTGTTTATGTTTACACATGTTCTCTTTTCTCTAACTTTTTTATGCCTCCAGGCTGTAAACTGCAGCTCGTGCAGGATGCAGGTGTTTTGGACACTCTTCCAGTGTGTCAGCACATGTTTGTGTTTTTCCATTTGACATATGATTATTAGCCGTCTGATGACTGAGGCCTTTGTTCAGCACGTTTACTGGAGCCACAGGTGGCTCTGCTGGGCTGCCCTTTGTCTTCCTCCTTCTGCTTCTCTGTTTTGCAAAACGGGCCTGTTTTTTGTTGTTGTCCACCCCCCCACTAGCTGAGAGGGAAGAGTGCCCTATGTAGGTCAACAGATAAGAGCTTCCTGCTCGTTACACATTGGCTGACAGAAACACAGTCACTCACAAACTTCCTGAATCTGCATGTTTTAGCTGTTTCTTAACAGATCAGACCACAACAAAGCAGGCGTCGCTCAAACAGAGTGAGCTCTGCTTGTTGTGCAGCCAGTAGAAAACAGATAGTTTCATACAAAGATCAATAAAAGTTGAGTTCCTCCTCCTCGTTCTGTCTTATTACTGGTGCAGGTAATGAGGAAGTCTAATCACTGATTGCCTCTTCATCAACCTTTGGTCCTGACAGCCATGTGACTCTGCCGGCCTCCCAACACGATACAAACTCAGATGGCCGCTGCTGGGATAACTCTCATCTGTTGCTTTTATTGACCCCATTTTTTTAGGCACTGGAGGTCAGTTTATCTCAGGTCAAGCAGTTTTCTACCTAATATTATTCTTTGCACTGAAAATGGAGGAAGCTTTACGTGTTCGCAGTTGGTTTGCACTGAGTTTGGACGTGTCAAACAAGATCGATGGATTATTACAGATCAGAAGCTGAGAGATGGGAGATGCAGCAGGAGTGCCGCAAGAACCAGAACCAAACTGCAGGGGCTTGTTTTGCTGTTGGGGAGTGTGGTGGTGGTTATTGTGTATTTTCCAGGCGCATGGTTCAGTTCTGCCATAATCAAGTAGCTATGTTACCTTCAGTTGTTCTAAAAACACTCAACATTAAAAATAAATTAGCATCACAGTCTACCCAAACACCTTGAAATTGGCTTCTGTCTCTTTAAAAACTTCCTACTGCAGGGCTATTCAACTGGCGGCCCGCGGGCCACATCCGGCTCACGAGTGACCAGAGTTCGGCCCGCTAATTGGTTTATTCATCTCAAACCCCCGGTTTTCTTACTTTTTCTACTCTTAGTTCTTTTAGTTAAACATAGACATGTTTGGTATCTACAGAAATGTCAGAATCTTGGCTAGGAGCTGGTAAAAACAATTTCTATAAGCACTCAAGACAGTTAAAACTACAAGCAGTTGAAGATAAAATACTGAAAGTGAAAATAAAAATGTTTTAAAAATTTGGCAAGTCAGAGATGTCAAAATATTTGTGTCTAATAGGAGGCATAATGTGTTCTTTTTGTTTTTGATAATGTGTAATTATCACTACTTTTATAGGGTTCTGTATGCTGTATTCATGATTAAATGCAGCAAATTAAACTATTTCGAAGACAACAGATCTTTGTAATACTTGGTTATTTACATAATAACTTTAATTGCTGGATGTTCGGCCCCCTCAGCTGTTGACCAGCAGTAACTGTGGCACCCGGAGCAATTTGATTGAATAGCCCTGTCCTACTGTTTCCAACACTCCCACTTCAGCACGTCTTCACAACAGTGCTTCATGTTGTTGACAAGATGGTCGTCTCTTTGTCATCAAGAAATACATTCCCTCGATGAAAACATTTTTTAATCCGAAAAGGACTGGAATGAGAAGTAGCATTACGAGCTCCACCAGGTGTTTGCTAATTGCTGCTGCCGCTAGTGGTGTAGCTGTGTGGGCGAGACGCAGGGGAGGGGTGCCCTGTGGGGGGGCGGGAGCTCGGCTGCAGACTGAGCTCCAGGGAGGAGCTTTGCGTAAATAGGCGGAGCTTTGTAGCAACAAACATTTAGGCAGCTCTACATGGCTATCACAGGAGATTCAAGGATTTCTCATACATTAATGAACAAGTCAAATCAACACTCTGGGTAAGTTTTTGCTGAGGGAATGACAGACATTATGACATAATACCCCCCCCCCCCCCTTTAAAAATTACTTCATGTGTGTTTATGTATGTAATACTATCTGACCAGTGGGGGCAGGAAATTTGTAGAGTGGTCATCATTACCCCTTCTTTTCTGGCCTCTCATTGGTGGCACCACTGGTATGCAGGTATTAGATCAAACCCAAGTTGACAGTCCCACATCCTCACTTGTGTAAATATCAATAAAAGCCTATGAAAGAGTCCCATCAGGACCTTCATGTTTTTGTGATTTTTCTTTTTTGTTTGTTTCCCCAGGGTTCCACTGTCCCGTGTGCACTAAGTTCATGGCAGCGGATGAAATGGAGAAGCACCTGCTCATGTGTTTCAGCAAAACTCGCCTCACTTACAACAGTAAGATTGTAACGTGTGTCAGTGTTGAGTTTTGTGCAGAAGACGTCAGTGTTGTACTTACTGTTTTTAAATGTGGCAAGCTGGGTCGTCATAAAGGTGTGGCGGCAGAGATGTTGCCTCTCAGCGAGGAGGTTGAAGGATTGAATCCCGGGGTTGTACCTTTCTGGGTAGAGTTTGCATGTTATCTCTGTGCACATATGGGTTTTCAACGGGTGCTCCAGTTTTAACCCACAGACCATAAACATGAATGTTGGTTTGGTTGGTGAACCTAATTTGTTCCTGGGTGTGAGTGAGAGACTGAATGGTTGGTGGTTGTTTGTCTTGTTTGTCTCTGTGTCCCTGTGATGGACTTGCAACCTGTCCAAGGTGTACCCCGTCCCTCACACATTGACAGTTGGACATGGGCACCAGTTACCTGTCTCCTGTAAAAGAATACATTGGTGAAGAATATGGATGGTTGGAAATGACCTGAGGCATCTCAATAATCCTGGTAGAAAAATTATGGGTTCTTCTTTGTTGAAAACATTTTTTCTTTTCTCTAAGAGACTTCTTCAGTCTGAAGAAACCGTCCAGATGACCTTATCTACTTTTTTATTAATTAATTTTTTTAATGTTTGGATGGTTGGATAGTTTGTCATAAATTTCTAGTTTTGACTTGTTTAATGTAGCTCATAACAAAAGGCAAATGTTGGTGCTTTGAGATTGTTTCCGAAGATGGCTGGTAAACCACCAAGTGGAAGGTGTTGATGTTCTATAGAGTCCATCCATCCATCCATCCATCCATCCATCCATCCATCCATCCATCCATCCATCTTTTACCTGCTTCTTCCTTTCAGGGTCACAGGGGTCACTGGTCCCATATCAAGCAGTCATTGTGCGAGGGATGAGGTACACTCTGGACAGGTCACAAGTCCACCACAGGGACACGTGAGACAAACGAGACAAACAACCTAGGGACAATTTAGACACCAATGAACCTAATATTCTTATTTTTGGTCTCTGTACCTGGAAAAAACCCACACATGCATGGAAAAAACACGCAAACTCTACCCAGAAAGGTCCCTGGCCAGGATTAGATCCGGCGAACTTCTTGCTGAGAGGCAACAGATTACCAACTGTGAACCATGCCTCCCAAGGGGTCAAATAACTATTAAACCAAATTTTGCTAACAGCATACTTTTGCAATATTTGTTACAGTTCTCTTAAACAGATAATGTTTGTATATTGGTTGTTAACTGTTGTGTTGTCATTATTCGTTTGCTAAATTAGCCTGTTAGCTATGTGTCAAAATCAAAAAACAGACTCACAAGCCCACTGATTTTTACAGACAGGGCCCAAAAGTAAGTTAGTATTTGTACATACAGTACAAGGTTATACATCTCCGGTCTGTGGCCAAAACCTTACACATGTCAGGACCCAGACAATGTTCCAATTCATTAAAGGTGCATAAGCAGCAAAATCTACAATTCAACCTTTAATTATGATTCAATATGAGGTTAATTCAACACATTAAGAGCTGCAGTATGATTCAACAAAACAAAGAAATGATCCTAAGTGATGTAGCTAGACTAATTCTTTACTAGGGGTGTCCCGATCCGATATCGATATCGGATATCGGTCCGATATCAGCCAAAAAATGAGTATCGGATTTTATCGGACTGCATAAAAAATGTCCGATATAAGCAGTTCAATCCAGCAGTTCACTGACTCCGCTCCAGTGTTTCTATCCAGCAGCGCTTGGTTCCAGCATGTAGCGCTCATGTGATCACAACAACATGCTGTGCTAACAAGTTAGCAAGAATGTCGGCAGAACTTTCTATTTTCTTCAGAAACAGAGTTGCAGCTAAGTGTAAAGTTGTCACGCACAAGTTTTCCAAGGGGGCACACAGAACCGTGAACGTTTTAAAGCGGAGCGACAACTACTCTCCACCCTGGAAGCAGCTTTGCGGTTCGGCTCGGTTCGTTCAGCCTCGGTCCAGTGACCGCACACAGCCGCGCTGTTTCAGAACCTCCTCTCTGGTCCGGTCGGTGGTTCTAAGCTGGCAGAAGCGAGGACAGCACGCTTACAGTTTTGACATCCCGTGGATTAGCTCTGGGATTGATTGACAGAAGAAAGGAGAGCACAGCTTTTGTTTTGGAATATGACCGTGACATGACGAGAGCAGTGATAAAAACTGCTCCCTGCAGGAGAGAGAGGCTGATCTCCACATGACGCTCAGAAAATGCAGCAGTAAGAAAGGTAGCTGTCAATTTAAATAACTGACAAATTCTTATTATTTATTTTTTGCTCTAGTTATTAGAGTGATGTTTAATCTGTTCACACTTGTTTGAGTGAAGATTAAGTGCAATGATCACGTTGTTTTAGTTACAGTCAGTAAAATTGGAGCTGTGGACTCTTAACTTTGAACAGACAATAATGTGGGGTTTTGTTTTGTCTCCACCTTCAGTTTTTTCCACCATAAAGCAGCACAAGGCTGACAGATGGTAAAAAAAAATAACTGGAGTGATTTTGAATTATTTTATACTTTAAAAGAACCTTTTTTATTATGGTTTTATTTTTCAGGGTATTATAATTTATTATATTAAATTGTAGAATGTTCTTCAGTTTAAAATGTATGTGATCCATTGGTTAAAAATAAATGGGTCAGTTTTTCTCATACCTACTCTTTTTCACTGTTTGACTTGATCAAGACTTTTCAAAGATTTTACATTACAAAATAGGTAAAAGTGTGTGACTTGTACTGTTGTGGTAACAGGTCAATATCGGTATCGGACAATTCTCAAAGTTGTAATATCGGTATCAGTGAAAAATTGGCATCGGGACATCCCTATTCTTTACTACCTAATAAAACATGACCAGTCACAAACAAGTCTTGTTTTAAACAGAGCACTTTCATAAAACCTGACTCACATTTGACAAACGATACACAAATATGAGGTCTAGTGCTAAATTAATTAAATAGCCAGGTAGTGAAATGCTCAGTAGCTTAACAGTGTGCAGCAAATTGCATTTTACACTTTCATAAATAATAAAACACAAGTTATTTTTATTCTTTCTGGAATAGTAGTTGATCCAGATGATCAGATTGAAGCACACTTTCATTGTTTGTTGCTGTTTATACAGGCGCTGCAGTACTCCTCCTGTACAGTCGGTGTCACGATTGAAAAAATTTTTGATAAACAGCATAAAGTGCAAACAAAAGAAGCCTTCTACTAAAAGAAGGAATTATAGGTGATTTTTTTTTTGTCATTAATTATTATTTTTTGCTGTTTGTCATGTGGATATCTTAAGGAACATGCCTGTTTGCAGAATCTTTATTTAATTGTTGAATGTATTGGATTTTATTGGTACAAAGCCATAATGAAGAGATTCGTCAAGTATTTATTCCTTAAAATCCATCAATACATGGCTGTTTTATCTGCAGAGAACCGCTTTGTCTAAACTATGGTTAACTACAAATAGTTCTGCAGGACTGACACACATTCCACATTAGGAAGGAGAAAGCTAACAGCTAGCGTTGTGGCTCATGCTGCTGAAGGTTGCGCTATAAAAAGCATCAAAGAAAATGTACATTCGTGTCCTCCTGAAAGACACTTATTTATAAATAATGTTGGGGTTTTCTTGAACAACCGTTCCTCATAACAGGTTGCTCGTGTGTGCATAAAACATTCATTTAGTTCTGTTTTGGTTTTCCTGCCCCTTGCCCCCGTGTTTGGTTAGCTATGTGTTTAGTTCACATGGTAACAGTTTCTTTGGGAACCTTGCAGGTTACGTGTACACGCAGAAACTCATGTTGGGAAATGCCCTCCTGTATGGCTCATGAAGACAAATGGATTTATTGTCTGTGCCTGACTACTTGGCCCGAGGGCACTGCAGCAGATCTGTACCTTACAGAACTGTCACATTCAGAAAGTTTTAGCTCTGAATCAATAAAATAGATCAGTATTGGAGTCGTTGCAAATAAAGAAACAACTGTTGATGATAGTAACTGGTAGCGCAGAGGTTAAGGAGAGCCGGTGATCGGTAGGTTGCCAGTTCAAATCCCCTGGTTGTTGCGTCAAAATCGCAAGATGTGGGTCCAAACCTGCCTCCATTCTGCACTCAACCTCTGCCAGGTGCTCCTCCAGGCATCATAGATGGCAGCCCCCTGCTCCACACATGTGGGCAACAGTAGCAACATGTTTCCTAATAGAGGTTGTGTAATAAAATATGTCTGCAGCTGATTTCGTGAAGGACAATAAATGTGTAAACTGTAAATCACAATGTTATGCAAAGCAAGATGCATTTAAACCCTTATATTGCTGCGCAGCTCATTTTTAATGTTTGCACAAATACGACGGCTCTAAAAATCAGTTTATGTACGGCTGCACGATATTGTGATTTTATTTTATTTTTTTCTAATCCTGCAATATAAAACAAAGAATAACGCTGGCCATTTCACTTACTCATCTATCTCACCTGCAGCTTCCTTGCTCTTAGCAGGAATGCCTCGTTATACTGCCCCCTAAGGGTTGGGGGGGGGGGGGGGGTAAAGAAAATCGATGTATCGGTTTTAAAAATATTGAAATTTTGATTTTTATGCACAGACCTAAACTGCTGCCATCTTGTTGACGATAAACCTGCTGTGGTCTCACATATTTTTATGTTTTTGTCTGTATTTGAGAGTTATTCTTATCTTTTATTATTCTGGGACCGGAGTACGCGAACATGAGTTGCGTTTTACCATCTAACGTGAATCGCCTCTGTGGCTATCTTAGTTTCCATTTCTGTCACACTTTAAAATTCATGCAAACAGTATTTTACCTCTTTTCCTCCAGTTCTCTGCAAGTTTGCATCATCTTCCTTGTTTTCAACAAGATCCTTGTCGTCTTCCTCAAGAACTCAGGACACTTCTCCGAAAAATATTGACGTTATTGTCCTAGAAGGTTCACTACTAAATAAAAGTTTTACCTTTTTAATTTGACACGAAGCTGCCCATCAAAATAAAAGCCATAACCTGTTTAGTGCAATGACTTATGGTTTGGTGGTTTAGTCCTGAGACAACACGTTTATTTATATTTTGCCTCCTTTTTAGAGATAGTGTCATGTTATTGAGGTGGTTGATATTAATTACATTTTCTCAACCAAAACCAGTTATTGTGTTCAGGGGTCAGATTTATAAAGCTTGCGTACGCACAAAACGAGCCCAGAAACTTGCGTGCACCTTAAAATTCATGAGGTACTTTGCATTGACTGTTTATGGTTGAGTGTGTGCGTTTAGAGGGCAGAACCTGAGGCGGGACCTTGTGCGCAAACTCTGAGGTGCGGCAGTGATCTATAAAGGAAGGGTGCGCAGAAACATGCGTACACACAGTTTGATAAATCTGAATTATTTGGCGTACGCCATTTTCGCCTTTTGGCTGTATGTTCACTTTTAGTATGGTTTCCACGCAAACCTTTATAAATCTGACCCCAGGTCGGTATATGACTGTATACTTTTGGTGTTTATTTATGCAGCAGCTGATTATGAACCCTCTGTTATAATCCAGTTAGTCTTTGAAATGCAGAAACATGGGGTTGTCTCCTACCATCTGTTCAGTCTACTATATAATAACCACAATATAGTGAACATTTCTAACATTTCCTCATGGGGCATTCCAGTTGACTTTACCAAACTGAACCATTAAAACCTTTGGAGTAGAAATAATGCGTTCCATAATATCTTAGGATCCTCAAACTAATGAACCAAGCTCATTCATTAAATGTGAGGAAGATATCAGGAACACTCAAACTTATATTATAAAGAGTATATGTTCCGCCTGACGAAGGAAGCATTAAGTGACTTTTAAAGGTCATATCAGCAGCAAAAGTTCAGGTGGAAAACTTTGGTTTCCCACAGAAACTACATGTTCCTGTTAGATTTTATAGTCATCATTTACAGATGAGTTCTCACAACAGATCATCAGTGTAGTCACTTAAATTCATTAAAGAAAAGTTTATTATATGAGCAGCACTGAACAGTCACCAAGGGGGGTAACTTTAGGTCTTTCATTGGGGGGTTATGCTCTCTGTCTATTTAATTATTGAATCATTTTGTAAAATGATTCAGGATATTTTGGGGTTAAAATGCATTTCAATGATTTTACTGTGATTTACTTTCCTGTTTTCCTTATATTTACTCTGCCCATTTTCTATTGCACATCAGTTCAAGCTTACTTTTTCCCCACTTTTTGCAACAATAACATATTTATCATTTTTAGGATATATTATACGACATAGATAAATTTTAATCTTTTCTAGAGTGTGTTTACCTGGTGCACTACAATGTGGCCAGGAAACATCACAACACATGATACAAGCGCAGACTAAAACCCTGCATGTCATTTTCAGCAGTTATGTTGAAATGTACATAAATGACATCGTGATTTTCGAAATCAGGTCAAAGTAACCTAAAAACAAGAAAGTTACATCTGTGTACTTAACCATTTCATATCTATTCTGTTAGAAAAAAATAATGTCGATTAATTTGGGGGGTTACATTGACTGGATCAAATTAGTGTGGAGGTCATAACCCCGTAAACAGCCCCTGCAGATTACGCCCATGGCAGTCAAAAACTGGAACTGTAGCAGGCCTTTAAATATCTGCAGGAAGTCCTTTTAGCTTGAAATCTGCAGCTGTCAGGGGGAAATGGAGTGAAATGAATATTAGGCATTTTGCAAAACCACAGAAGAAAAAATGCACCTGCGCTGCACCGTTACAGTGCAGCAGGAAAACATCAAAACCAAATCCAAACAAGTGTTGCATCTGCACATGTAAGCAGCCACTGATATGTGTGCATGTTGAGTTTGAGCACCTTTAAATAGCACGTACACACACACACACACACACACACACACACACAC